GATTTTTTGGCTTATATCGTCTGAGAGGCTGAAGATCTTTAATTAATAGATTGACCATAGAGTTCATGGCTCCTCCAGCATCAAAATGGGGTTGTGGACCTTTCCAGTGTCTCCTTGTGTCCCAGTGTTTTTCAGCTCTATGATGAAGCTTATGGCTTTCCCATGTTCTTAATGGAGCTCAGAGCCTCCCACAGGGTATCTGTAGTTCTCAGGAATATCTCTAGGATTTTCACATGACTCACAACTGTCCATAGAATTTCAGGGGTGTTCCATGAGTTTGTGTGATTCAAAGGCATTTTCAAAAGTCTCTTGGCATTCAGAGTTTTTGTCAGTGTCTCAGTAAATCTCAGCACTTTTCCCAGGTTCTCAGTGGAGTTCATTGCCATTCTCTGGGTCACAGTGTTGCTCAGGTCCTGCCCAGAGTCTTTGTCCCAGGGCATTCCCCAGGATTACAGTGATCTCCAGGGCCATTGCAGAGTATTTGTGGTGTCACTGCCTTCCTAGGCACTCAGTGATGCTGTAGTCTTCCCAGGAAACACTGATGATCACTGCCTGTGCTAATTTCTCTGTAACAGAAAGAATATCAAAGGGATCAGCATCTTTCCCAGGGTCAGTGGGCCTCAGGGCCTACCCTAGACTCTCAGGAGGGCTCAAGGCCATCCCAAGAATTTCAATATTGTTTATAAAGTTCTACATGTTATTCATGGTGTATATAATATTACCCAGGGTTTAGAAGAGGTTCAAAGCTTCAACAAGAGTTTCAGATTTATTAATTTTCAATGGTGATCTAAATGAGCTTCAGAAGTTTTGAAAAGCCATATCCCTTCCTTAGTTTTAAAGATGTGTGCACAACCTTCCCAAGAGTGTTAGTGGTCTCATTTCTGTTCCAGATGTTCAGTGCAGATCAGCATTATTCACAATTTCACCATGTGCTCAGGGCCTTCCCAAGGTTCTCAGTAGGTCTTATTGCCATTTGCAATGGAACACTTAGTTTCAGAACTAAGATCAGTATACAATTATTTCAGTCTTTTACAGGATGCCTCTGAGTCTCAGTGCTGTTCTCAGTGTCTTCATGATGATAAGTGCTTCTTGTAGCCTTGGAGCGAGGCTCTGAATCTCTCCAAGCAAAATACTGTTTATGGCCAAGCAGGTTTTCTCAATGCATCTCAGGACCTTGAACAAGGTCTTTGTGAAGATAAGTGCCATTCCCAGAATCACAGTTGTGCTCTGCATCCTCCACATTGTTCAGTTGTTTGTTAGGACTTTCCAAGTATAGTGGTGTGGCATACAGCCTACAGTACTATTTCAGTGGATTTAAGTACTCTGTGCAATATCTATTGGTGCTCAGATTCTTCCACCATATTTTGGGAAATAATGGCCTTTCCTAATATCTTATTGGGGAATAGAGCTTGCCAGTGTGTCATTATACCAGAGAGATATTCCCATTGTCATTGTTATTCCCATTGCTCAGGGATTTTCCCACTGTGTCAGTGGCACTCGGGGCTACTCCCTGTCTCTTAGGGTAAGCTCAGGGCTTTCTGCAGGGTCTCAGACTGGCTCAGTGTTGTCCCCAATGACACAGGTTCAGGGGATGCTCTTGGTCTTTTCTGAGATTTCAGGTATAATTGGATCTCAGATTAGAGCTCTTCAATAAATAGCATTACAGTGGTGTTCAGGGCCTCTGCCATAGTCATTGTTATTGGGGTCTTGCTCATGGTCTCCAGCTCAACAATAAAGCTAATTGCCTTCCCATGTTCTCTGTTGGGTCTCAATGACTTCCACAGGGTATCTGCAGTACTTAGGGTGATCTCTAGGATTTCTTTGTCACTAAGGGCTTTTCATAGCATTTCAGGGGTATCCCAATGCTTTTCATGAGTTTGTGTGATTCAAAGGCCTTCACGAGTGTCTCTTCATATTCAGGCTCTTCACTGGTTTTTAACTGGTGTTCAGGACTTTTCCAAGTGATATCACTGGAATTCAGGGATTTTCAGGTCACTAAAGATGCTCATGGGCTCTAGTAACAATTCAGTGGATCGTGAATTTTTGCCCAGGGTTTCAGTGAATTTTATGGTTTCTGCGGTCATAGTCATGCTCAGGTTGTTGCCCCAGAGTCTTAGCTTTCATCTTGTATTCAGTTGTGCCCTTAGACATTCTCAGCTTACTAGTGTTGTTCAAGGTATCCTCCAGGTTTTCAAAAAGCCAAAGACTTGCCCAGGGCCTCAGTGGAACTCATGGCACTACCAGGCTCATGGCCATGATCAGGCTCTCCGTTTGTCTCAGGGCCTTTTTCAGTGTCTTAGTCAAGTTCAGTGCTATTCCCAGAGGGTCAGTTTTTATTAGATAGTTTTCCAAGGATACACTAGATTCAGGTCTCAGAAATATCTTAGCACCTTTCCCATGTTCTCATTGTAGTTCATTGTCATACCCAGGGTCATAGTATTGCTCAGAACCAACCAAGATCCATATTTTTAAAATAAAAAGACTGGGCTTGAGGCAAACTTCCCAGATAATTTTAGCTCTTATTCAGAAACAGGACTTCAACAATGAAAATGCACCCACTTTTCTGATGGAACATTAGCTACAAAGGAGGAAAATTGGCTTATATAAGTTGAGTGTGATTTAGTGGGCATGTGAGTCTGGGCACTCAGAGATTTGAATCCTTGTGCTGGGGTGTTGGTGGTTGGGAGATTTGTTGTATTAAGGAAAATTATTGTTGTTTTTTTTTGCTGTTGTTGTTGTTTTTTAGAAACTATCACTTCTAGGTTTGCTGAGACACTTTCTTCCTTCCTGTGGTCAGTGTTCAGGAAGGATTTATCATGGGAGAGAAGAAAGTCATAAGTATATGGCTTTCTATTTTATTTCTTTCTCCTAGGTCTCACAATGTGTAGGTATTTCTTTTTCTATATTTAATAGTACTGGGTCTCAGAGCATTCTCCAGAGTCACAGAGATGCCAGGGCCTTCTCCAGTAGAAGGCCTAGTGGCTTCACAATATTCCTGGCACTCAGTGAAATTATATTATTCCCAGGCTGTACTGGTGATCATGGCTTGCCCAAGAGTCTTAGTGATCCTGAAAGTTTCTTCAGGGCCTTAGAGAGTTTCAGGAAATTTTCCAGTATCAGTGGGTCTCAGTCCTACCTTAGAGTCTCAGAAAGGCTAGAGGCATTTTGCAGAATTTCAATTTTGTTTAGAAAGTTCCACATGGTATTTGTGGTGATCAAAATATTTCCCAGTCTTTAAAAAAGGCTAAAGGCCTCAGTACCAGTCTCAGAGTGGTTAAGTTTATTCACAGTTGTCTCAATGATATTCAAAATCTTCTTCAGAGTCTTCAGAAATCCAAGGGCCTTTCTTAGGTTGAGAAGTATATACACAAAATTCTCAAGAGTAGTAGTCATCTCATTTTATTCCCAGGATCTCTGTGCATCTCAGCTCCATTCCCAAGGTCAGCAAGTACTTGGACTTTCCTGAGGCTCTCAACAGGTGTCTTTACTGTTTACAGAGGCTCACTGAGTTTCTGATCCATACTCAGAGTCTCGTTCTCTTTCAGGGTCTTTTCCAGCATCTCCACAGGACTCAGTGCTATTCTTAGAGTCTCAGTAATGCTCACCACTTCTCCTAGTCTCAGAGCTCCCCCAAAAATAGTGGTTTCAGGGTCTCTCAGCATTTCTCACTGAATCCGAGGCCTTTCCCAGGGTCTGTGTGGAGCTCAGTGCCATTCCCCACATCACAATGTTCCTCAGCATCTTCCTCAGAGTGGGATTTTGTATCAGGGTCTTCCCAAGAGAGTTGAATAGGCCTAGGGCCTATCCTATCATTTCAGTGGGATTAAGTACTCTGCAAAGTAGATTCTCCCACAGTATTCTGGAAAAATAATGGCCTTCTATAGTGTCTCAAAGGGGAATAGTACCTTGCTCACTGTGTCATTGAAACTCAGGGATATTCCCATTGTCATAGTGATGCTCTGAGTCTTCCCTTTTGTATACCAACACTCAGTGCCACCCCAAGTTTCTGAGTGTAAACTCAGGGCTTATTCCAGGGTCTTATTCTGGTTCAGTGCTTTCCCAATTGGCTTCTAGTGGCTCAGGGTATCCTCTAGCATCTTTTTTGGATCTTAGGTTTGATTGTGTCTCAGATTTTTCCAGAGAGCTTCTGCTGGGCTAAATGTCTTCAGTATCTCCTTAGTGGGTTTTAGGACCTCCACCAGTGTCTATGTTAAATTGTAGATTTTTCCCAGTTTATTTTGTGTTCCAGTGCTTTCCAAGTCAATGGTGTGTTTGATGTATTTTCCATATTTTCTTTGTTGGCATCAGTACTTTCTTCAAGAAATCAGTAAGTCTCATGTCCTTCCCCAAGATTTCACTGTGGCTCAGGGTTGTCCACCATATTTCAGGTGTGTTCAGATCATTTCTATGAGTTTTTTTGTACCATCTGTATCTTCAAAGTGTCTCTTGGGCTTCAAGGTGGCCAAGTTCTAAGTTGTGTTCTGTTCTTTTTTCAGTGTACCATTTCAGGGTATCAGGGAATTTTTAGGTCACTAATGAGGATCAGGCTCCCTTGTACTGATTTCATGGATTGTGAGGTCTTGCCTAGGTCTCAATAAGTTTTAGGGTCTTCTCTGGTCTCACAAATATGATATGAGTGTTTCCCATAAGTTTAGTGTTATCCTTTCTTTCCCTGGGCATTCATTGGAATTCTTATACATTCATAGCATCTCAGTGTGGTTCAGGATATTCCCCAGGTTTTCAACTAGCTATTGGTTTTGCCCAGGTCATCAGTGGGACTCATGGACTGTGGGAAGTCACTCTGAATGAACACACCTTCCAGTCCTGAGGCAGGGGGCTTTGACCAGTTACTTCATTTTGTAGGGAATTGGGTGTTGTCCCTCCTCAGATAGCAAGTCATACCTCCAGGTATAGGCGTACCCACTGGGGTTGAGGCACACTCACCTGCTCCCCCCCAAATAAAAATCCATTTCCAAACCTGCTTTCCTCTCTCTTTTCAGCCTCTTGTGATTTTCTTTTATTCTCCCTTCTGCGGAGCTTGAGTTCAAGAACTGGGGAAAGCCATCCTGAAACTTGTATAAAGGTAATTTGTGTCTGTGTTTTATTTTGCATCACCCCAAATTCACACAAATGACCTTAGTTCAGTCTTATGTGCTGAATTGGGGTAGAAATGGCCTTTACCAAGCTTTTGCTTTTTCTCAGGGCCTTTTGCAGTGTTCAGTCATGTCCAGTGCTAAGTGCTATTGCAAGGGTTTCAGTGGGGCTCAGATAGTTCCCCAAGAACACACTGGATTCAGGGTTATACCAGGGTCTCCATAACCCTCAGCACTTTTCCCAGTTTCTCAGTTGAGTTTGGTGTCATTCCCAGGGTCACAGTGTTGCTTGGGAACTTTCCAGCATCTTACTGAGTCTCAGGCCACTTACTAGGGTCCTAGTGCCTCTGAAGATCTTGCTGAGAGTCATGTAAGGGTTCTGACTGTGGAAATGTACACAAGTCAGCATATTTCTCTGGTGAGCAAAGCCCTGGAGAATAGGTGTCTTATTTCTCACAGCTGGAACATTCTGCCAGTTTCTCTCAGAAACTATTAAGATAACTAATACATGCTTGGCCAGAACACCTATATGATCATTAACAAGAACATCTTACATTATAACCCAATGTATCTGACTTAGTGATATAATGAACAATAATGTACTAATGGTGCAGTGAGCCATTGTAACCTAATGATATCAATAAAGATAACTGCTTAGACAACAGCCATTTTGCCTCTGCATCTTGCTTCCATCTCCTTTTGTTTTCTTACAGCTGGTGCCCAATGTGGTACCTGGACATCTGAAACAGGGACCCTTCTGGATGTGTTAATGGGGGAAGGGAGTAGCTTATTGCCTGGACCAGGCTGATGTGTGTCTTTCATCAGCTGTTATTGATCCCCATTGGTAAGCTATGGGAAAATGCCTCTCTGACGCTCAATGATGTCACTGGGCTGAGCTCTCCTATTTATTTTGCAAGGCTGGTCATGCCATATGTAATGCTGATCTCAATGCTTTTCAGGCAAAAGTAAAGTTCTTGTTGCTCCTGAAACTCAGAAAAAGGTTATGAAGGCACAAAATATTGGGAAGATATAGGAAAGATGCCGCAGTCTTGCTGGGCACAATTCACGAGTCACTTATCAAGCAGAAACGAACTTTATTTTTAGAACACACACACCGCACCACACGAGCTCTTCAGGAATTCTCTCAGAGCCCAACTGCCACCACCGGCTTCCCTTGAGCCTCTCATCCCCCTACTCCTCCTCCTCTTGAGGCCGATTGGCTGGGTCACGAGGGCAGAGCCAAAAGAGTCCACCAATGAGCAGCTCCATGGTATGAAAGGGCAGGGAAACAGCCCAATGAGCATCAGTGCAGAGAAGCCAAATGGCTGGCAGCTGGAAGTTTGCTGGGGCCCCTTTGGCTGTGGCTCTCAACAGTAAGAAGCATCAGGGGGAATGTGAGCTCCCGTTGCATGCTTGTTATCTTTCTCCCAATGCTATTTGTCTCTTATCAAACACCTCCTCCTCTGTCTGCTACCACCCACCTGACACTTGTGATCCTGATATTCTTCATGGAGGTGTTCCCTTCACCTTCACCAGCTCCTCCTCCTCTGCTGCCACTGCCACCACTGGTTAGATCTCACTTGGCTGAATGTTTACAGCAAGTGGAGCAGGAGGGAGAAACTCACACCTTAGCTGTTTGACCTATTAGGCCAAATCCCACTGGCCAGCCAGAGCATCAGCAATTGTCTTTTGCTGCATAAATGCATTCTTCTGCCATGTATAACTAATTAAAACAAATTAAAACAATTAAGAAAAATGGCTAGTGGGATGAAATGAACATAATTACCCTAGGTACATGTATGACTGCACATATGGTGCAATGCTACATTCATAGAAATGAAAAGTTGTGCTGAAATTGTGTAGAAGGAATCAAAATGCATGACAGCAGTGTCTCATGTATAAAATTAAAACAAATACATAAACTAAAAAAGTAAATAATAATGTCAATGTACTTTTTTGGAAAGTGGCAATAAAGAGGAAATGCATTTTTCCATCCCCCTCAAGATCCCATGACATGAATGTTACCAGTCTAGACACAGCCATCTCTTTATGTTAAAATGGAGCATCCTTCCAGAAATTTTTTCATGCCCCTAGAGGGAGTACTGGTATAGATTTAATTACTATTGAAGATGCCTGGTGTGGCTTCCTGGGGAGGTATATAAAATTGCCACTCAAATTCAGGAAACTTTACCCAAAAATCCTTTGGGATTTTTTTTCCTTATACTCATAATGTTAAAGAAAGAATATTTATTATTCTGGAGATAATTGATTCTGATTATACTGATATAATATGTATCCCAATGTGGTTCCATATGCCTTTAAGACTCCCTAAAGGATCCTCTATTGTTCACTTAATTGTGATTCCCTATGTTACAGCTCAACAGCCTTTAAACAAAAGAAGTGCAAGGTTTGGCTCTATTGTCATGGGAGCATGTTTACTGTTCACTGAAAGTAGACCTAAATTGACTCTTTACTTAAATGAACAACAATTATGGGATTATTAGACACAAGTGCTAATATCATACCCCTTTGGTATGGCCTCATACATGGCCCCTTCAAAGGGCAACTCTGGTTTGGGGCATAGGAGGCAATAATGAATGGTGTCCAAGAGCTCCCTGTGGTCACAATGCTCTGCCCCTTCCAATCCAACACAAATCATCCCTCATGTGCAGCCATATGTGATGGCAGAACCTTTTCCTACATGGGGCAGAGACATGCTACATAAACTCCAGATGTCTGCAGAATTACCTTTTTCCTGGGGCCTCTGCAGATCTGACTGCCTTGTCACTACAGTGGAAATTCACCACCCCTGTGTGGGTTGAATAATGGCCATTGTCAAAGGGAAATGTGGAGCTGCAGAGGCCCTTATTCAAGAACAGCTACAATTGTGACATATTGAACCTTCTACTAGCCTGGAATATGCCTATTTTTGTTATAAAAATGAAATCAGGAAAATGAAGATTATTACAAAATTTAAGAGAAATTAATAAATGTATAAACCCATGGGTCTGCTTCAGTGTGGATCACCAAACACAAATTTAATTCCTCAGGATTTTTCTTTATATGTCATTGACTTACAAGAATCTTTTAAAACTATTCCTCTTTCCTGATGATCAGAAAAAAAATGTATCATTATCAAGCAGAAACGAACTTTTACTATCCCCATTTTTAAGCATCATAAACCTACTAATAGATTCCATTGGAAAGTTCTCCCACATGGAATGCTAAATAGCCCAACATTGTGTCACTATTGTGTTAATAAAGCCTTGCTCTTTTTTGGACAGAAATTTTCTCATTTACTTTTTTATCATTGTATGGATGATATATTGCTTACAGGATGAAACATCACAGATGAAATTCTACAAACATTATAGGACTCCATGTTGTTACAGAAAAAAAAAAATCAACCTTAACTCTCTATCAAGTACTTGGGACATACATTACTTCAAAAATATTCAATTCCTCACATTCCAAATTTGATCCTTTCTTCTAACTTTTCTTTGTTTCATTTATAGCAATTTCTAGTACATTTAAATTGAGCAAGTTCTTAATATTCCATTAATTATTGATATGCTCTTTTATTTTTTCTAGTTGTTAAAGAAACAACACTACACTGCCTTCTTTAAGCTCTACAAAAACTGAACAGAAAATTGTTACCCGTAATGGTAAGTCAACTTCCTTTATTAAATTGCCATTATCATTGGTAATTTTTATTGGAAAACTTTACACCTTTATACCAGCAACTGCTATTTATAATCAAAGATTGTACACATCAGAATGGTTACACTCTCCTCATTTTTCAGGCTGGAATGTTCTGCCTTTTGTTGATACATATGTAAAGTTAACTGCTGATGGTTGTCCTAAAATTTTATCTTTAACAGGCATGGACATTCATGTTTTATATCACACTTATGGAAAAATTCTACATCTCTAATACTTATAATTTTTCTCCTACCACCTAGTTGTATTAACATATTTTTTTTTTTAGCATCAATTTCTTTTCACATATTTCATGATGGGTGAGTCTCTTTGTTATGTCAGGTTACACATTCCCCCTCTTTCTTGATCTCTACTATACCTCTTATAGTTGGGTCAGTGTTGTATACAGATGAAGGTAAGCAAAGAGGGGTATTATCTGTTTTTATTAATGATAAATTCCTGAACTTTTGATGGAAGGTAACACACAAGATGCAGCTGTGAGATTTCTTTATCCTTTATTTTCAGATACTTTAGAATCTCATGGATATTTTCATCAAAACCCTCAATCACTAATGAAAATGTTTTCTATTTTTTCCCAGAAGGCTTGTGGCATTGTCAATAACTGTTCTCACTCAGATGATCAGGGTCTACCCCAGAGTCTTATTGACACTCAGGATATCAAAGGGTATCTAGCCTTTCCCAGGGTCATTGGGCTTTGGAGCCTCACTTAGTCTCAGGAAGTTTCAAGGCCTTCCTCTAATTTTCAATCTTGTTTAGAAAGGGCCACATGATCTTCCTGGTGCTTGGAATATTGCCCAGTGTTTAGAAGAGGTCTAACCCTTATAAAAGATTCTCAGCTTCATTAATTTTATTCATTATTGTATCAGTTATGTTCAAAATAATCTTTAGATTTATAGGAAGAGAAAGGGCCTTCCTTATTTTGGCAGATGTGTGCACAACCTTTGCAAGAATTGTAGTGGTCTCATTGCCTTTCCAGGCTCTCAGTACAGATCAGCACCATTTAAAGATTCACAATTTAATCCAAACCTTCCCAAGGGTTCTTAGGTCTTCTTGCTCTTTTCTGCCCAGCAACCAGCACTGGCTTCATTAAAGAAGGTTCAAATCATGAGCAAAACACTAGGGAGCTTTAAATAAAAGAGACAAGACTCTAATTACCTTTAAAACAAACTCCAGGATGGCTTCTCCTAGCTCCAGCCTCCAACCACCTAATGCGGAAATTTTACTAAATTTTACTAAAGAGGCGAGAGAGAGAGAGAGAGAGAGAGAGAGAGAGAGAGAGAGAGAGAGAGAGAGAAAACATGCCATGGAGTAGACTTTTATTGGGGAACAAAAAATTCCAGGGAAAATCCCATCCAATGAAGGTTAAGGGTGGCAGCATCCCAAGTTCAGGGGTGATGATTGGGTCTTTGGGGCAGTGACCAGACATGCCTCTGCATGGACAAGCCCTCAGACCTGGAGAAGGGTGGGGTAAGCTCTGACACAGCTGTCTAAGTGCCTCTCACCCAGCAAGGGAGGTAACTCAAATCATGTGTGAGGATAGCCTCCCACATATTCCCCCTTTTTTCTTTTAAAAATCAGGTGATGATTTACTCTCTCAAGTCTCTGCACTCTCGCTCTGAGGACTCAGCCATCCTATAATTACAATACAAAAAAGAATTAACAGCAAAGAGAACAATCCAATAATGTACCAGGCTGAGTGTTTATAAGTATTTCCAGGGTTAAATCCATTTAATTCCTTTAATATTTGATTAGCTAAAGAAGAAGGATCCAAAAAATCAGCTCTATTATTTTGAATATCTTGGATATGATGATGGAGTTCCAAAAGATCCAAGCTATTATTATTATTTAGCCAAATACCCAACAAATGGTTCTTAACCTTTTCCCAATCCCAGAGAGAAGCATTGTACTTGGCAGCTGTAACACACACATATTTATAACTTGCATGGCATTTAAGCCTTTCTTTGAACTTTAAATCTGAAAGTTCATTACCTATATTTATAACTGTTGCCTCCAAGGCATTTAACTTAGTCTCAATACTTTCATCAATATTTACTTAATTGTGCAGAGCCTTGGAAGTATTTTGGGCTAAATTATTAAGAAATTTTGCATGTTGAATATTTTGAGATAAAGTTATTGAAGCTGTGACTTTGGATGTAATGAAAGAAACCAAGGCCATAATTCCCACAATTATAATTCTAATGACATGTCTAGGTCTCACTAGCTGGGTATGGATTTTTTGTAAGATTTGAAAACCAGCATCAGTGTACCATGGCTCTGAAATATTAGCAGGCAATAAAACAAAAGAGGGCTGATGAAGCACCAGCACTCCTTTTTCTCTATTATATCTAGTAATACAATTGGTTGTGTTATATTTGTTACATGTTAGAACATATCTGTCATCTATCCATTTAACTTTTACATTTCCAATGATTAAAACATAAGGAGATTGGACACAGGCTCATAAGCCATAGCAAGATCCTTCCTTAAAGCACTTGCCAACAAATTTTGATAAAAAGCCTTGTCTATAAAATATAAGAATTCTGAGGCAGCAATTAGGCACCAAACATTTTTTTAATACCACCCTCACTGTAAGTCAAAATATTGCTAACAAACCCTGCAGGTGTCATAGCAGAATTTTTTTGTAATTGTCTTTTATCAATTTTTGGAGACCAGTCTAAAATATACCCACTATCTTTAGACACCTTATGTTGTACTGGAAAGGTACTTACACAATATATCCATCTAGGAAAGGTGCCAATCTCAATTGTAGAACTATTAGAACAATGGGGTATTCGTGGAGGTTTTGTAGAAATGACTGGTGTGTTATGGGAAAGTCCCATTTTGATCACGAATTTAGTATAAGGTTTTAATTCTCCATAAATAGTATGATTAATCATTCTAGGTTTCCCAATCACTGTCTTTTCCTCAAATGATACTCTGAGACAGCTAGCATGTTTATCATGAGACCAACACAAAGGTAATTTGGCACAGTAGCCAGAATAATTAATCTAGTCACATGATTGGGAGTAATATGAGTATCTATAGATCCTCTCATTTTGAATGAGTCATTAGCAAACATGGAATAGATTTTCCAGTTCACACAGCTGGATGTACCAGGGGTGAATCTAGGAAATATGTCTATTAAGTATCTGCTCGACTCCCTTTTACCTAACAGCCCAGCAGGGCAATCACTGTAGCTACCATCATCAATGGGGTCTTATTCCTTCCTAAGAGTTGAATTATTCACAAAGCATGTGTTGTCAGCTTCTTTACATTTTCCCATGAGATCAGATTTTCAGCTGGGTCATGCTTGTTCCTCTTCATTCTTCTTTGATACCTCTTCCTTTTGATTGGAGGCTTCTCTGGGTCTATTTTCAGTCGCTTGAATCTTGGCTCTATATCTTCCATGTCTGATTGTGCATTCAGGCACCCAGATAGGACGGAAAGCACCTTCTGGAAAAATACAAGCATGACCTCTGTCCCACATAATCACTGGATCTGGGCCTTTCCATTCACCAGTCTGAAAGTCTTTCCACAAAACTCTGCCTAAAGGGCCTGTTTTTGTGGAAGACATATGTCTCAGCTGCAGTGTGACCTTCTGTGTCACAATTTTAAAAAAACTTAAAACAAACAAGGCATGGTTGAGGCTATTTTGGGGAGTCATAAACCTATTCCCCCCTTTTAATTTTTGTAATTGCAGCTTAATAGATAAATGAGCTCATTCCACAATGGTTTGACCTTGGGGGTTATAAGGAATTCCTGTTTTATGGTCAATTTGAAACTCTTGGAAAAACTGTTGAAAAGAAGAGCTTACATAAACTGGTGCATTATCTGTTTTAATCTGTAAAGGGCATCCTAACACAGCAAAGGCTGCTAGGCAGTGAGAAATTACATGTTGAGTATTTTCCTTTGTATGTACTATGGCAAAAATAAATCTGGAATGTGTATCAACTATTACATGTAGATAACATTGCTTACCAAATTGAGGAATATGAGTTACATCCATTTTCTCTATTTGATTTGGTTTCATTCCACAGGGATTTACCCCTGATGGCAGAGAAGGAGTGTGAATAACATACTTAGGGCAGTGACTTACAATATGATGAGCTTGTTCTCTGGTAATATTAAACTTTTTACATAAGCTAGAAGCATTTTGATGATGTAAAGTTTGTGAAACTTGTGCGTAATCATATGGAGACATCTGTTGACAAACAGCTACCAATTTATCAATTTTGTCATTACCTGAAGTTAAAGGTCCTGGAAGATTAGTGTGAGCTCATATGTGTCCTATGAAACATGGGTATTTTCACATTTGCAATGCCTTTTGTAGATTATGAAATAATTTAAATAGCTCTTAAGATGAGGTATATCCAATAACTGAAGTTTCAATATTTTTGGTAACTCCGACTGCATACAAGCTATCAGAATAAATATTAATAGGCTCATTTGTAATTTAAGGCACAATGAGAGCTTGTTGCTCTGCCCTTTGGGCAGAAGTATATGAGGTTTGCATTACCTCTATGTGAACATGGCTATAAAAACCTGCTTTACCTGAGCTTGAACCATCAGTGAACACCGATAGGGCTCCATCTATTTTCCACAATCTTTGGAAAAATAAATGGTGTTATTGATGCAAATTGAATAATTTTATCATGAGGGTAATGACTTTTTGTCTGACCAGGAAAATGAGCAAAAGCTATTTGCCATAAACTAGAAGCTTGAAAAAGCCAATTTTTTTAACAGAAAATGGAATAATTATAATATCAGGATCAGATCCAATTAATTATAAAACTCTCGTTCTACCTTTAATTACTAATTGAGCAATAGAGTCATGAAAAGGAATTAATGTCTTTTGGGGAGAGTGGGCTAAATGAATCCACTCAATAACTCCCAATCTTTGCCATATGGCTCCTGTAGGGGCATAAGCAGTTGGAAATATTAATAA